AAGACTTTAATGATTGTTTACATGGTACCGATACAATAGAGGAGTTTGTGTCTCTATGGAGCAACTTGTTTGAGAAGTACAAACTTCAAGACTATGATTGGCTATGTTATATGTATGACATTCGTGATCAATGGGTACCTGTATTTTTCAAGGAAATTTTCCTTGTTGGAATGTCGACAACGCAGCGTAGTGAAAGTATGAATAAATTCTTTGATGGTTATGTCCACTTACATACAACATTAAGTGAGTTTTTGAAGCAGTTTGAGAAGGCTATTGAGAATCGTCGCCAAAAGGAGAATAAACAAGAATATAAAACACTCAATGAGTAGCCTAATCTCAGAACTAGCTTTGGAATAGAGAAGCAAATTAGTGAGATTTACACAAGAAAAGTATTTAAGGAGTTCCAAGAAGAGATTTGGGCAAGTGCCGTCTATATTATCAATATAGTTTCTGAGGATGGCTATGTAAGTGTGTATGATGTTTCCAAGAGCAATGTTCATGAAGGTAAGATTTGGTCAATTACATATGATAAATCCTAAGAAAAAGCAATTTGTTCATGTCATAAATGGGAATTTTGAGGGATTCTTTGTAGGCATATATTTTCACTACTTTTCAGATTGTGTGTAACAAAATTTTCAGAACACTATATTTTGAAACGGTGGTCTACGACTGCAAAAAAAGGGGGATGGTACATGATGGGCATGGAATTGAAATTAGACCTGATTTGCAAAAAAGTATTACTGTGCGTTTTAGCGATCTCTCTTATTTAGCCTATAAATGTATGCAAGCAGGAGCATTGTTTCACAGATCATATGAATTTGCTAGAGAAAATATGCAAAAATTGTTTGCAAGTATTAGTGCAATAAATGAGAAGGAAGCTTCCAAGAGTTGTACAACTGAAATAAATGTGAATGCTGATAACGAGTCTACACCGAATTGTAACACTCAAGTCATAGTGCGTGCTCCCCAAAAAGTACATACAAAAGGAAGTGGAAAAAGAATCAAATCAAGTAAAGAAGAGCGACGAACTAAGCAAAGGACGTGTCATAGTTGTGGTGTACTTGGTCATAACATACGCACTTGCCCTAATGCAAAGGCAGGGTAATACCACTAACCATAATGTTGTGCATGTTCTATTCTTGCATTTATTTGTTGCAATACATGTTTATATTTTTTTTTTGTTTTAATTTATTTGAGGGACAATGAATACATTTGAAGATCGTTTAGCATCTGAAGAAGCTCGCGCTAAAGCTACTGAAGCCGCCCAGAAAAGGCAAGAGCAATTTGAACAGTCTGTTGCAGGAAGAGTTGCGCATGCACAAGTTGCAGCAGCTGCAAAACAATCTGCAAACACTAACAAGGGTGAACCAGTTCTTAAGTGGCAGATGGGATGGCCAGGCTTAGCTTTTTAAAGCTCAACTCTGGCCATTAACAAATAAATGAAAGGATTAGCCATGATCTCTTCTGTTGCCAATCTGTCTCGTTTCAAAAGCAGACAGTTGGAATTTCTGGAGCAGGATACCTCATGTTTTAGGTCTTCTCTAGATTAATTATCACTTAAGGAGAACTTGAAATGAAGTTTGAAATGTTGTCTTATGCTTTCTTCTCTCTCTCTCTCTCATGGTGGCCAATGTTCTTTTTTTTTTTTTTTTTTTGTTCTTTTAAATCTCTTTGGGTGATATTTGTAAATCAAAACTGCTATTATCTGTAGCTGTTTTTTTGGCTCTAGCTTATCCCGCAATGGTAAATGTTGTTGTACATCTAAAAAAAGAAGTTGTGGTTGTAGAATCTAGCTTAAGGTGTTTTACCAAAAAAATTGTGCAAGTTTGATCATTGATACCAATGTTTTACCGAAAAAATTGTGCAAGTTTGATCATTGATACCAATGTTTTACCAAAAAATTGTGCAAGTTTGATCATGGATGTTGTAACTTCAATGATAGTGGTTATTAACAAAACTTAATGTTCAGTTCAAAGCTATGCTACAATTTTTCCCTTTATGCTTGTTTTCGGTTGTAATGTTTCTCTATGAATAAAAGGATGGTGTCATTTGTTAGCCTGTTTGAATCTGCCAAAGACTGTTATTTATAAATTGAACTCCTTAATGGTAGTTTTATTTGGTCTAATCAATTGGATGTGAGAAGGTGGGCAATTGGGTGATTTGGTGGAATTTTTTAATGATACTTTGTATGAGGAGGTGGTAAATTCTATTGTTCAATTAACTGATTCTGATGATAAATTGATATGGCAGCTTACTACTGATGGTGATTTTCCTGTTAAGTCTGCCTGGAATTGGCTTCGGAGTCAAGGGGTGATGAATGAATCTTCTGTGGTTATTTGGAAGGTTGTAACTACTCCAAGTGCTCAATTTATTGGGTGGAAACTGCTATGGAAGGCATTGCCATTGGATGATAACTTTATGAGAATAGGTGTGTCTATTGTGAGTAAGTGTTGTCTGTGTTGCCAGAGTGTGGAGAATGACAATTATTCGTACTCTATTTTTTTTTAACTGATTCATACTCTGTTTGTTATGAAGATTTGTAGTATTCTTAGATTTCCAATAAAGAATATTAAGCCAAGAAGGTTAGATGATGTTGCTGGTAAATATTTCTTGTCTTTTTTACAAGTGAAGTCTTATTTACAAATGATTTATCGATGTATTTGGGTGAGATGGGTGACTCCTACTTCTGAAACTATGAAATTAAACACTAATGGAATTGTAAAATAAAATTTTCATCAATTAAAAAATTGTAAAATTGTGTTAGAATTTTTAATAGATGGGTAAAGATAAAAATCATCGGGTCATTTGGTCGATCCGTTAATATTTAAGAGAAGACTTTTTTTTTTTTATTATTAACCTTTAAGACTAGATCACAATTACTAACTCATAGATATTTTCTATTTAATTAAGAACTAAATTAGGCAGGTTTTGATAATGAATATTGAGCATCTTTGTTTGGTAGCCATTAGATCGAGATCCAACGGTCTACGTAAAAGTTAACTACTAGACACTACGGTGCAAAGCTTTCATGATTGCGCTACTCTATATATATATATATTATATTATATATTTATTTACTTATATATATATATTTATATATATATATACGTATATTTATACATATATATTATATATATACACATATCTAAAGATCCAAAATTGTTCTCCTTGTTTCCAAACTTTTCAAAGAAAATTCTGAAAACAAGCTACACTTGTTTTCTGTTTTTTGACTCAAATCTCATTTTTTCGCAAAATTTAGAGAACAAAAATGTTAAACAAACAGATTTTGGGTATTTTTGAAATTTTGAGAACAAAAAATCTGTTTCCGAGATGATAACCAAACACGGCCTTTACCTTTTTGAGGTCAAGGGTTTAAGTTCCCCTCTAATATATATATGTCTATATATATAGGTGAGACTATGGTTGAAAAATACAAGAAATCAATGAAAGTTTCAGTAGTATTCGACGATGGAAGCAACACAGAAGATAGGAAAGAAAAGGTAGAGAGAACAAATCGTCGAAGAAGACTTTTAACTTTGAATATTTTAAAAAGTAACTGTTGAAAATTTGATATAGGATTTTAGTCTCCCTCAATTTGGATTCAAAATGAGTTTTTTCTTGATTTGGTATAGATTTGAGTCCATGGTTGAAGAAGATTTTTAGATCATTTAGGGTCAAATTTAAATTTGAGTCAAAATGACCTAAAATATTTCTCCAACCTTAGATCCAAAATTATATCAAATTAAGGCAAAACTTATTCTAGACCCAAATCCTATATCAAATTTCTAACGGTAATTTTTTATCTTATCCAAAACCAAAAGACACTTTTAATGGAAAAAATTCCTGCCTACCATCACCGCCAACCACACTGTCTCTCCCGCCTCTATTCTTTGAGAGTAACTTTTTACTCTCTCTCTCTCAATATATATATATATATATATATATATATGTATATTTCTACCTTTTTTCTCTCTCATAAACTCATTCTTAGAAAATCTCTCTTGTCTCTCGTTAGAAGGAATTGAAGATAAGAAATATTGTTAGTTAATATTGAGTAGATATTTTATAAAATTCCGTTGTTTTAGACGAACGTTGCTTTAGATGTTAAGAAACTCACGATTCTACAACTCAAAGATGCTTCTATTCCTGATTTTTCTTTTGGTTAATATTAGTAAAGTTTATAAGAAACATGTTTTAATATTGGGGAGTCTTTTCTTTTCTTTTTAATATTAGGGAGTCTTTTCTTTTCTTTTTTTAATATTGGGGAGAGAATGAAGACTAGAAAATGAGAGAGGATAAAATATTTTGGTGGGAAAAATTTTTAAAATGAGTATTGGGACAGTAAGAGAATTTTTTTTAAAATATTTGAATATATATTTGAGTCTATCATTGGAATATTCTATACTAAATCAAGTTTTTTACTAAAATTTAAATCAAATTTGAATCTAAATTTGAGTCATTGTTGAAGATGTTAAAAAGAGATAACTCCTATTTTGGTTACCTACTACCAGTTGATTTAGATTGAGTAGATCTTATACCAGATTGACGTAACAAACAAGAAGGAATTGGGTGAGAAGACAAGAGTAATAAGAAGAAACATAAGTTTACGAGGACAAGTAATACTCAATATCTCAATAAATAATCAAGTCTATGTCTGCTTAAAATGAATACATCAGTATACGAGATACATCATTGCTTTTATACGAGGATTCTCTTTCCAAAATTAAAGACCGTTGAAAGAACTCTATTATTGAAAGATGGTAGTTCCAATATTCCCCTTAAGGGTAAATAAATTCGGTAATTACAAAATTAATCAAAGAAAATAGGATTTTATTCCTAGAATTCATATCCGATCGAGCTTATCTAATGGTTTTACTATCCCCCCTCAAATGGTAGAATTTGGAACAACAGCAATTGTTGGACATTGAAAATCTCTCTGGTGATGATATGGAAAATTCAGATCATGATATTTAAGTCCTGAGATCATCAATGGATCATCATCAATTGCCTTGTAAATTGTAATGGCTCTCATCATCATCATCGCTGCCTTGACCACAAGCAGTAAAATAGGGCAGCTCAATCTTCTTATCCCGAGAGCTATCCCCATCATCTTTATTGGGATTAAAGTCGTCATCGTCATCGTCACCATCACCACCCTCATCATCTAGGGCATGTTTCTTCCCACTATGAGAAGCTTCTGCGGACATCCTCATAACTTCATGTTCTTCTTCTGCATCTTCTTCCGCTAGTAAATGCGGTGGAGGTGGATCCAAGTCCCGGTGCTCCCACTGTTCAAAATCAACACTACATTCAAGGTAATTAGCGCCTGCCATTGCCAAAGCTTCAATGGAGATTGACATGGTATCAATGTGGAAAGGTGAACTGTGTATACTATATTGAGAGCTAGATTATGTTTTGATTTCTTGAGAAAACGAGGTGAAACAAGACAAATATATATAGGATTTAGCATAGGAAAAATCAAACTGTATTGTCCTTAAGAATCATTGAACAGAAAGGAGTTCCATTTGAACACATATTGAAAACACAATATGCTCGTGATCATTCCGTTGACCTTGTTTTCTCTTCACCTCATAAGCATAATATTCTCGTAATAGGTTACAATATGCTCGTAATGATGTCACCCATGATGGAAGTTGGTAATGTTGTAATATTAGTATTGATAAAAGTAGCATTCCTTCAATGATTGAAATCATTGTCCAGGAAGGGTTTTTTGGACGTCTACATAATGTTATAATCCATTGGGTCAATAAGTTCATAGGTGTAATTTTTTGAGTCATTAACGGGAAAACAGGTGACAAAAGACCATAAATAAATTAAAATAAATACAGATTTTAAAAAATCTCACGCAGATAGATCTCTCTCATCTAAAATCTCTCTATCTCTTACACGGATTTCTCTCCATTCAAGTTCTCACACTCTCTCTTTCTCACACATCTCTCTTTTTTAACATAAATTTTCTCTCATATGCAAATCTCTCTCACGCATATAATAAAATTTATGAAATTAATTATTTTTTTGTCAAATTAAGGGAATGTAACAAATTTCAAATCAAGCCATTAAAAAAACAATAATTTAAGCTCAATTGTATCAAATAATCGCTCAAGAACAACATAATCTCATCACGTCTTTGCAAAGTACGAAAACCTGAACAAAATGAGACAGAGATATTACTCTGTAATGTTTGGATTAATTATATTTTGGACTATGATCCTAATTTCACTTTATTCATTCGCTAATCATTTAACCATAAAAACATCATTAACCATTCTAATTTATTATATTTTTATATAAAGCACTAAATTTTGTTACAAATTGTTAAATTTTGGATAAATGTAATCTACATGACTATTTTAAATGATTGAATATATTCAAACCAATAGTTGAGGGTTAAAAACATCAAGATAACAATCATAAAGGTATAAAGTACATTTTTAAAAGTTTGAGAGAGCCATGTAAAATAAAACCAAAAACAAAGTTAGGGGTCCAAAACATAATTTTAAAAACTTGAGGGGGTTATGGCCCCCTTGGCCATAACACAGTTTCACCCCTGTATACAGTTCTTGTTTCACTGTGTCTATTGTTGTCGCTATTATTAAAATCAAACCGGATCAGTAGATTAACCCACTTAACCGGTCATCAGTATCTCAATTAGTTCGATTCTTAAAATAGATCGTTTGATCAGTTTAATTGTACCCGACTCATTCAAATCGGTTAAAACCTAAAAATTTTCATAAAATCGGACAATTTTACAGAAATCCGGTTCACTTTTTGAACTTGATAAGATATTAAATCTTCATTTAACAAGTTCAATGCTAGACTTCAAAGCCATTAATATTAGGCCAGTCCTTCCTTCTTCTCTGGTATTCCGATGAGGGATCAAGAATGGTTTACACTTTACAATGTTTTAGTATCCAGTTTAGTGAACTACTTCTCTTTTTCTTTCAATTTTGTCTTTGTTTCTTTTTGGGTCATCAGAATGTTAATTTTTTTATGCTCTATTAAATATATAAATTGTCGAAAAATGATATTTTTGGGTTTTTATTTGATCTTCTGCAACATAAAACATGTTACTTTTATAATTATTATAATTTTTTAGCATATTCATTATTATTAATATTTTTTTTATTATACGACCAATCTCACCAAATAACCCAATAGTTGAATCTGTGACTCATTGATTGTCTAGTCCGATTTAATAACTATGGTCGTTGTGGCCATCATTGTGGCTGTCAAAATTTTGATCCAAATCATAGTGTTTATGTGATGGTTGTTGTGTCAATGTGGATGAGTCATTGTGTCTGTCACTGTGTCACTATGATTGTGTCACTGAGACTATCACTGGGATCGTGTGTGGTGTGAGATGTGAGAAGAGATAACAGGACATAAGAGAGAGGAGAGAGAAAAGATATATTCAATGGTGTTACATAATCATAGTAGTAGAATATGCGTGATTAATTCAGGTGGGGGTCTTATGGATCTGCTTACTAAATAGTGCATACCATATATCCTTAATGACCCAATAAATTCGCATTTGTGTTTAATGGTAAAATAGATTGTCATACTATACTTGCTTCTAATTTCCGTATGTTTTAAGTATTAAAACAATCAATATGTATTAGAGATATTGATCCAGACTCGAACTCTGCTCAGGCTCCACCGACAAAATCTGCTCTTGCTTCACCGACTAGGACTGCTCCACCGACTAAACACAAGTCTGCTCCAATAAGAATTACTCCACCGACGACACACCAGTCTGCTCCAATAAGAATTGCTCAAGGGATAAATTCCACTCAACAACGGACTGTTGCACCGACTGATCCTGAGAAGGCTTCACCAAATGATAATGATGAATCTACTCCATATAATAGGCTGAAGGATATAATTAAAATAGGATAAATATAATTATCTTTTCTCTAGTATTTAGACTTTTGATTTTGTTGTAATTCTAAGTCTACCAAATGTATTTATTCATGTGAGCTATATATATGAAAAAGGATCCTCAGTAGAAGAAAATAAGAGGTTCTTATTATCTTTATTTAGTTTTTTTCTTTAATATGGACTAAACTAGTTTAATAACTTAAGGCACATACCAATAAATTCAATAACTAGAATTGGTAGAATCGTAATTGGATTGGGATTTTGCAATCCTACAAGATTCGGATTCCGATCCATGAATATCTTATGTGCTAAAATTTTTTCAAGAGACTTAGATAAATTTGTCTAATATAAACCTATGATTTGGATCAAAATTTTGATAACCATGCTTGAAATGAAAAGTGTCTGTTACATTCTGGCTTGCTCTTCTGACCATCCTCGAGTATGAGTTTTGTATTATAGTCTTCCATTAAGATTTCAGGTGAGATATGAAGCCGGGACAAAACACAAATTCCCTTCTGATATGGACTTTAAGTTGGAAAATAAACTTGCCTTAGAGTTTTACTATGTTATTATTGTGTCTTAATAAGGTGTGTTAGAGGGCTACTAGTATGTTAACATATATACCATGTAGTGGGCGAGTGCATTGTATTAGAAATGAGTTAATTCCCCAAGAAGTGGAGAGAGTGAGTCTTAATGTTTTAGTGGTTACAAGAGCAAATGTAGATAGTGATACCTTAATGTAATGTTAATAGTTATATTTATGGCCTACATAAGTAGGGTATATGACCTAGTATTAGAAGTAAGTAAAGTTGCGTGAGTATGTTTTTTTTTTTTTTTCTTTTTTTGGAAGGGGGAAGAAAGAAGGGAACTTGAATCCTTGACCTCAAGAAGACAAAACTTTTACAAAGTAAGGAGTACCATTAGACTAAAGCTCCATTGGTGCATGAGTATGTAAAGAGTTCAAGTTATGATTGTAATCTACTTCATCTCATTTTATTTCTAATACTCTCGACTTCAAACAAAGTAATATCAAAGTGATTTTCTAACCGAATTAACATTGGAGTAATTCCAACATTCAATAATCCTTTAACATTTTATAGAAAACAATCGGGTCAATCCTCCAACATTCAATAATCTTGGCAGATTGCTAGACCATTTGGATGATTTTCATTCATATCTTGGTGTCCAGATCATGAATTTGACAGTTTATCAATAAAGCTTGTCCCTCAGTTATAAAATAATCAGGGCAAAATTTGACTTTTTTAAATCCGTTGTTTGTCAGCGGCTCTAAGTGATTGATTAGTGGCTGTTAGTTGATTTGGTCGTAAGTCCAAATTCTTATTCATTTTTTTGTAATTTGAAAAATATTATTAAAATCTAATTGGTACCCTAATCCAATAATTTAAACACTTCTATATGTGTTGGATTAGAAGTAGGCCACATCTAATTTTGAAACTCATAATTAATCGAATAACTACAATGAAATCAATTTTTGAATTAGGTTCACAAATTAGATCCTTATAGTGTTTTTATTATAACTTATGTGTTATTTTAAAGCATAAGTTGACTGAAGAAGCCACTTAATTTAGCTAGTATGACATATCTACTAGTATGGCATATCTGATATATCTATCACTGCTGCATTAGATTGCTCATAGTTATACACATACTATTGTCAAAGCATCAATAAGCGCTATAGACAAGTAGACAATTGATATAAAAAACAAAAAAAAAAAAGTTCACCATAAGACTTTTTCCACCCCACCAAAAATCTTAAACTTTTTCAACCAATTCTTCGGACCCTTTTCGTCCCCATGCCAATAATGTGGAGACTATGCATTTTTTTTTGTTGATGGATTCTTTGTTAATGAGTATGGATTGAACATATTTTGTCAATGACTCTTATGAGATATGTCCGCAAATCTTGGTGGCTCATTCATTGATTACAAACTTCTAATTGCCTCTCTTTGTTTGAATTCTTTATCAGAAATTTCAAAACAATTAATGCATATTGATGAATCCATGCCAGCCAGAAACAAAAATTCAGATAAACGTATCCCATTCCTCGCAACTCTATTTTGTGGTCGGGCTACAGCCTGGTGGCAATAGTCTAAACTTACACGAGTGCAACAAGGAACGAAGAAGATTGACTCATGGGAGAAACTCAAGAAGCACATGTGTGCTGCATTTCTGTCCCATAACTACACGAGGATGATATATCAGAACCTGTAGAACTTATGCCAAGGATCTCGTACAATGGACGAGAACACTGAGGAGTTCTATTAGTTGGTGGTCCGCAATGATCTAGCAGAGACAAAAGAACAACTGGTATCACGTTATATCAGAAGTATGCGATCCCAATTTCAAGATACTCTTAATTTATTTGACTTTTATTCTATTTCTGATGCAGACCAAAGAGCACTATAGTTAGAAAAACAATTGAATCATAAGCCGGGTAACACTGCCTGGGGTAGCAGTTTTTGCAATGGGGTAAATGTTCCTTCTACTGCCCATGTTACGCCACCACCACACGGGGGTGAAACATAATAGACCCGCGACGATAGCAGCAAAAGTATGATGTTTTAAGTGTGACAAGACTGGTCATAGGATGGCAGAATGCAAGAAGAATGATAGAACTGGGAAGGGGTTGTTTGTTAACAGTGGAGACCTTATTGAGGATTAGGCTGATTTGAA